AAACCACAAGCCATTAGACAATTTTACATTATCAAAGGTTAATAATGAGTAACAAAATGCATCTGTCACAGCAACGAGAATAAGAATCCAGGCTGTCCCCCCGAGCTCACAGGAGTCATTTACTCTCTGTGCCTTTGGTTTGCCAGCACTGTCCCTTATTTTCTCTGTCTTTGGAGAGTAATCAGTGTTTTAAATGTTCTTCAAAATTATATGAGTCAGTACAAATTGTGTTCCCATTTGTACCCTTAACTGGGTTTTAAGGCCATTTTAGGCATCTGTATATGCTCATAAGTCTATTAGGAATTCTTAAAAGCCTGAACTAATTTGGGACCAAAATTGACACCTGAGGGTCATTCTATTAATGGGAGTTGAGAGTTAACAATTTTACAGTCATTTTGTTTATAACCAGAGGGAAGGACAGGTTTGCTCAGTAGCTGCAGAGTTACTCAGCACAGAGACCTGAGGAATGTTCCAGAAAGCAACAAGGAATTTGTCCACAAATAAAAATCACAATTTAAGATTATGGGGGCTACGTTTATTGAGGAGCTCTGCCTCAGATTAGAACAAAATCCTCAAATATCCACACACAAAAGTGGCACAAACTGGTTTCCAAACTTCAAATTAATGTTTATTTTCTGAGTTATCAAACAGTCCCAGAAAATGAAGGGAGAAGTTCTTTCCCAAAAGATATAATCACTCAAAACAAGTCACCTCCTTCCTGGAAGGGAAATGCTCAGAGCAACACTGATGTTCCTTCCTCCAGGACCATTTCTCTGAGATTTCTCAGAATTGAGTTTAAGCTCAGAAGAGATTATAAAACTCCTCTGAACTACAAAATCAATCCAGGTTCTCCAGTAGAAATAATATTCCACCAGCAAAAGACTGGGAAGGAAAACAGAAAATTCCTTGCAGATACGACCCAGAGCGTGTGCTGGGCACTTCAGTAATGCAACAAATTTACTGAGGAACAAATAAATCCTGTGGGTTTAGGTTAAATACAGAGTCAGTATGAAAAGCTGCAGTTTCTAAATTAAAGCATTTGCTGAACTGGCAAAATAACTCATCAGTTTGAAGCCAATCCTGAAAGATTCCCAGAAGAGTCAACTTATTACCAAAGCAAACGGATTAATAAATCCAGTATTGATCTGCCAAGAGCGTGGGATGCCTGTGCTGATCCCTTTGGAAGCTCTTCCCACAAAAATGCCCTGGGAATTCAGCAGGATGGGCCACAGGGAAATCATTAAGCAAAAATAATAAAAGGAGAGAAGAAAACGAAGGTAATCTCAAGCCTTCACCAGATGGGTTTCTGATTCTCCTCTTTCCCATGAATTAGTGTCATGTTCAGGCTGTAACATTCCTTGGGAAAACCACTGCTCTCCAATACCCAGCTATTTAAAGCACCCACAATAACTCTGTACAATAATTCTGTAAAAAGAACTGATGTAAACCTGCGGACAAGAAACCAAACTGAGCTAGAAACCCCTCTGGGTGTCCCTGGAAGCAGCAGGACCTGGGGATTTTTTTCCAGGCTGCTGTTGTAAAGCAGCACCGATTTATTCAGACACAAAAGATTAAGGGATGTTGGGGAAGATGTGATTTAGAAATTCAGTGGCTGGTGAGGATCTGGATGCTCCCATACAAATGGAGATTTGATAATGCTGCCTAATGGAACTTTATTGCGTTTTCAGATGTTTTCCCATCGGGTTATTGAAATTCCTGCTCCTGTAAGAAGAGAGGACTCACAAGGAAATCTGCAGCTTGCAGGCACCAAAGGAGGGAGATAAAAATTTGCTCTTTCCCACCTCCTTAGGACAGGGTGAAGAAGGATATTTATCCAGCTGAAAGCACAAGGAAAATCAGGAAGGCAGAGCATGGCCTTGCTGACTGGAACGTTTTTTCCTACACCAATCCCAAAGCATAATTAACAACAGCTGCCTACAAATATGGATTTGCTTTTTCCCTGTCTGAAACTCAGTGAACGGGTTCACCATCTCATCTGTATGCAGAGCTCTGATCTGCCAGGGACACCTGCCAGTCTCCAGCAACTTTAGGCAAAGATCAATCCATTTTCTAATTAGGGATGGGAGTTAATGGCAGCTGAAATGGCCATTTTAAATACAGCAGGCCCTAAACAATGATTTTTCAGGGTGCTGCCTGCCCCAGAGCATTTCCTTTGTAATCTTCTCAGCCTCTCCACTCTCCTGGATGATTTATGGTGTCTGGGGGCTCCTTGGCAGTTCTTTCTGTGCTGATAAAGAGGAAAACCTTGACTGTACCTTAAATTGTCAACAAATGCTTTCAAATTTCCTAAGAGTTCTTGTGTTTGTCCTTCATATTTCCAGAGTTAAAAAAAGCATTCCAGCCTGAAACTGCCCTTTGTGACAGAATAATGCCCATGAGCATCTCATTATTGAGCCTCGTGAACTTCCCCCACAATCAAAATGTGCTTAATCCCACTGGCCTCACCCCGTAATTCCCAACTGGATACACAGCCTCATGGTGACAGCCCAATTAATTCTGCTGGCATCATTAATGAGAGGCTGATTAATTGAGAAACACACCTGGCAAGAGCGAGTTTCACGGGCTAAGAGGGATATTACAACTTCAATAGAAGGAGAAATCAAAAAGCCTTTGCCCACAGCAAGGAATTCAACAATTGTGTTTAAATTGAATATAACATGTGATAAAGAGTTGAGCTGCAGTCAGAGTCTGTCACTGGCTCTCACACAATTTTATTTATGGCTCTATATAGGCCCAGCTCCATGACTTTAGCAGGCAGAAACCTTAATACCTTGTGACACAACTGGGCTGAGCCATCTAATATCACCCACAAATCCTTGAAAAACAAACACTCCTTCAAATAATTATGCTGTTCCAACATATTAACTTCCCAGGCACTGATGAAATGTCCCTGTTTTAGGGAAGACCACTGAAAAGCCTTGTCTGTATCCCGGGCTTCACATCAAAAACCTTTAATATTAGGATCACACTCTGCTCTGAATAAATGTCAGAGAAATAAACTTGACTGAACAATATATTTTTCATGCTCTAAAATGAATTTTAAAAAGGACCTAGAACAGGAAACTACAAAGTCTTTAACCTCCAAGGGGAAAAAAAATCAAATACCACTCAGGTCACTAATAATCTAATGTCAACTCTTCCCATAAAAAACGGGCAATGATAAATAATCAAAGCATTTAGTGGGAGCTGTGGGGATCTGGGTTATTCTCAGTTATTCTGTGTTATTCTCTGTGCATGTTCATTAGAATTTTAAAGAAAAGGTAATGTTTCTCCCAGCCCTGTTTCCCCCCGATTTACAACCCAGAGCATGAAATCTCTCACTTTATTTTCCAGATCCTTCCAGACCCTGATCTCCCTCAGCCTGGCTGCCACGTTATCTTCTCGAGAAGGAAACACCTCAGAGCAGCCAGTGCAAGGTGAACCTCTGGGCTGGAAAGTTTTAGGACACAAGGGAGCTTTGGCTGATCTAAACTGCACAGAATTCCATCATTGCATAATTCCAGATTCCTTCCTCCATGAGCTCCTGGCATTGAGCTGACTCCCACCTCCTGCAGTGAGATAATTGCCCTTCCACTCACACCTCCCTCTGATCGCTGCTCTCATTTGTATGGGCAGAAAAGGTAAAAGAAATGTTTATGCTATGTGAATTATTTTAATTTCTTGCAGCAAACTACAAGAAAAGAGCCGGCCCCGAGCAGCCTACTCAGCAAACAACTGAATTTTAAATGTGAACAATGTGTAGGCAGAGCTGTTTATTCCACTCTGCTTTACACTCCACTGCAGCAATGCATTTATTACTCTCCTGCATCCATCTCACGCTGGCCAATCCTTCTTTGTGTTCAATGTAGAGATCAGCACAAGAGCTCTCTGTTCCGAGAGACACAAGATCACTGCACTTCATCAAATGGGAGAGAAGACAAAACCTCTGTCCTTCGGCCAGGCAGTCCAAACTCAGCATGAGGATAAAACCCCAGCGACAGACAACACACTCTGCATCCCAGGACTGAAGAACCAGCTTTTCTTGCCAAAAGAGACTTCACTGAAACAAAACAAACAAACAAACAAGTTGTATTAGCGAACCTGAAATAGCAATTTTAAAGCAAGATCCCAGGAGTTGCTTTTATCATGATGTAACCTATAGAATACCTGAAAATATGGGAAGATTTCATGCCCTGGAATATTTTTTGTATCTTATTTCCATGAAGTGTCACATCCAAAGCCATCCGCATTCATCTTTTTGGATGTAATACACTGTCCTAAAGGTAAAAAGGGCAATTTTAAAATCCCCATGTGTTTCTCTTGCCTTTTCTGTCCTTATGGCAAAGCAGAGCTGTAGCAGCACACGATATTTTTCACAGAAGCCACTGTCACACCTCCATCCAGCCCTTTGTGAAAAACAAAGTTCACTCTTTAGAATTTTAAAAGTTTAATAAGGGATAAAAAGGGACAATATCCAGCGCTGGGTTGGTTTTGGCGATCGGCTGAAAACCACACCGCTATACTGTGCACACGTAAACTGATAGATTCTATTACATTATTATTATTATTATTATTATTATTATTATTATAAAGGAATTGTAAATTGCACCGGATAAAAATACTTATGATCAGTAACAACACGCAAAAACTAACACGTAAATGCGAAAGCCAGTATTATATTGTCACTTGTAAAACCTTAAAACAGTGTTTTTGCAATGTATTGCCCAGATCCTTGTGGGGATTAAACCTATGCATTTCCCTCAGCCGTTCTCAGCCATGTTCTCCCAGCCCTGAAACGCTCCAGCTCCCCAGCTCCTTTCCAAACCCAGGGAGCTACACCTGGGAATCCATGTGGGACAGAATTGGGGTTTGATGTGAGGGCATAGCACCGATCCTATAAAATAAATAATATAAAATATTTCGGGCCCGGATTTTCCGCCGCGGCCGGTCCGGGCTCCCCGCCCCGCTCCGCCCTCAGCGCCCGGGGCCGCCCCTTCCCGCCCGGGGAAGCCGGGCCGGGGTAAGGAACGAGCTCCAGAGGCCGAGACGAGGAAAAAGCAGCTCCTGGAGCCCGAAGCTGAGGGCCGAGAGGAGGGAGGGAAGGGCAGAGCAGCTCCCGGCCCTGGCTGCGGGGAGTGACCGGGCACGGAGCTGCTGGAGCGGGGCTGGGGGAGGCCACGGAGCTGCGGCGGGGCTGGAGCCCTCAGAGCCCCTTCCAGAGCCTGAAGGAGCTCCAGGAGAGCTGGAGAGGGACTGGGGACAAGGGATGGAGGCACAGGACACGGGGAATGGCTCCCAGTGCCAGAGGGCAGGGCTGGATGGGATATTGGGCAGGAATTGTTCCCTGGCAGGGTGGGCAGGCCCTGGCACAGGTCCCAGAGCAGCTGGGGCTGTCCCTGGACCCCTGGAATGTCCCAGGCCAGGTTGGATGTTGGGGCTTGGAGCAGCCTGGAACAGTGAAAGGTTTTTCCCCACTATCTCATCTAACCATACTCTCTTTCCATTTCAACTCATTCCCCCTTGTTCCATCACTATCTGCTGCTGCAAATAGTCTTACCTCATCCTTCCTGTAAGTTCCTTCTAGATAATAGAAAGGGGAAATTTTGCATTCATTTATTTCTTTATTTTTAATGAAGAATTTTATCCAAGCATTACTGTATTCCACTATAGGTTTGAAAGGAATGCTGCTCAGATTTCACAGCTAATGATCAGTGCTAACTGCTACTGTACATTTACCCTGTGGATCTGGATGTGCTTTGGTAATCACAGCTGTGCTGCGATTTTCCCCACCTGTTGTGGTGTGACAGCCCCATGTATATCCCGTGTTGCTTTAGGTAATCCTGTGACACTGACCTTGTTTTTGTTTTTATTTGCAGGGCTGCCCCATGGCCACTGACCCAGCAGAGAGCTCCGGGAGCCACGGGAAGAGGCTGGGGTTGAGCCAGAGTCACAGCAGCTCTGCTTTGGACTATTCAGGAGACACCTTTGAGTCCTTCAGCGGGGAGGAGGAGAGCGAAACACCTGGATCCAGGTGTCCCACAGAGGATTTGGAGGGGGAGTCTGTGTCAGAGGCGTTGCAAAGCTCATCATCACTGGCAAGCCAAAGTCCTGTAGGTAGGCAGAGCTCTCCCTGCTTGAGGCCTGTGTTTGACAGCTTCAAAAAGTGCAGTGGGGGCTTGAATCAGCAAAAATAAACACGTGAAAATTGCGTACAGTGTCCTTGCTGTGCAAAGTGCAGGTCAGATCCATGCTTCAGACAGCTCCACAGGGAGGACTTGGCCATGGAAATCATTCCTTAGTAATCCTGTGATGCTGAAATTCTGTTGGCATCTTAAAAAAACAATTCTCCAAGCTTTTTACTATGTATGAAAAGTAGCTGGGCCATAAAACAATTTTTCCATGGGATAGTTCCAGGATTTAATACTGAAGAGGGCTGGGTAGGACCTTAAAGCTGCATCAGATGAGGGATAAAGCAGAAGCTGGAATCTGTGGCCTCCTCTGTGGCCCAGGGTTTCCCCTCCCTCAACAGGGAGAACTGGCACATTCAAGTGGATAATTATTTGCCTCCCACTTTGCTTTCCTCACAGTGTGTGTTCAAAGTTGCCTTTTCTCCTTGCAGAGGAGGAGTCTGAAGCAGTGGATCCTGCAGCAGTGGAAAGAGCTGCCATAGGAAAATGGATGGATGCCATGGGAAAATGGATTGATCTGAAAAATAAAGACACTGGGATTGGGCCAGATCAATCTGTGAGCAGAACTCCTGCTGGTGAGTCTGGTAACTTCAGCAGACGTTGTGTTTCTTTTGGGAGGAGGTGTAAACTTGACCTAAATTTTATTCACAGGCTATTAAATTAAGCCAGCTAATTAGCCTGGCTTAATTAGCCAAGTAATTAAGTACAAAGTTTCTCTTTTTATGCTTTCCTGGAGAACAGTTTGTGTCCCATATCACACGTGGCTTTAATGCTCCCCCCAATGAAGTGGTGATGCATTACCACCAAACCTGGGAAAGTACATTAAAAAATGTCCCCACATTTGACATTTAATTGTTTGATTTAATCCAGGTTTTTTCCTCTCCAGCTGTAGAGGTACTAGGAAATTTGGGCATTTTCCCTTCCAAGATAAACATGGCTTCAGAATTTATGGCATGAAATGGGTTTTCCCCTTTGTTATTCAACAAATTACTGATAATTGAATTATTTGTTTGCCCTGTTTTAGTTCCCTTCCCAATCTGAGGGAGGCAGCAGGGCACCAGTTTTGGCAGGAACAATGGAGCAGCTTTACCCAAATAATGATGGGGTGTAGGGAGGAGGAGGAGAAGGGAAAGGAGGAAGGAAGGATTCATTTCCATGTACTGGTTATGCAAGGAACTGCAAGAACAGATGGTGGGATGCAAGCCCTGCTAAAGTCTGTCAAAAAGTGTGTCAGAGGTGCTATTTTTAATTAAGAAAAAAGAGCAAGAAAGCTGTAATTGAGCAAAAAAATAATGGGAGCAGACGGGGAACCTTCCTCAATCTGCATGTTGATGGGAAGTGAGCAAACTTGGAGTTTTGTAGGTCATTGTAGGACCAGTTAACCAGGAGATCCTCCTGCCTGGGCGCTTCATGGCACGGGATTTGTGTAGCAGCATCCTCAAAGCACCCATCTGTCCTGAGAAAAGCAGCACCTCAGGTCACTCCTAGGCTGTTGGGAATGGCAGAGCTCCTTCCCCACAGCCCTGGGTCAGTGCTGGGGGTTCCTGACTCATCTCCTGCATTTCCCTGTCCTGCAGGTGAGGGGAGGCAGCTTGTGTGGAGCAGCTCTGCACTGGGGAGGGCTTCTCCTGGCCTGTTCCTCCAAGGGAAACTTCCTGAAATACATCAGGGACCTGCTGAGTTCAGAGGCACTGAATGAATGATGAACCACAGCTGAAGGCTGAGGATGTTTTCCATCTCCTCAGGCTTTTCCCTTGAAAGTTGTGCTTGGAGGATTTCATTCATGGGATCACTTGCAGATCCTTGGAGTTCTGCACCAGGGAATGCTCAGCCTCAGGCTGGTGGATGTTGATGGCAGGGAGGGTCAGAGTGGTCACTGAGGCTGGAGCAGCCAGTTCTGTTCCATGATCTTGAGCTGATGGGTGCGGAGCTGGCTTGGCTTTGCTTGTCCTGTCCCTGCAGCAGCCTCAGGTACATCGGTGCTTCCAACGATCCATATGAAGAGCCCAAAATATGGTTCATGCTTTTCTTTGATGCAAACACAGTACCCATCCCCAAATCAAGCATAATTAGCCATGCACTGCATTTTTTATTGCAGAACATTACCATAAAATGAGCCCAGCAACTTTCATCTTCTGGTATCTATCAATGCTTCTCTTGGACTTAATCCTTCAGCACTTGGTAGCTCCTAAATCTTGTATTGTTTTAGCAGCTTGGAGATTTATTTTTTATTTTCTTTACTGCAGTAGATGAGCTCACCTAGAAGTGGATTGCTGCACAGTGAGTCCCCTCAGAACACCCAGCTCAGTGAATCGAGTGCTCTGAGCACACAGGGTACTCTGAATTAGGGTTTGTTTTATTGCCTCAAGTCTTCACTTCTCATCTTACTGCTAATAGGGTTAAATGTGATGGGGTGAGCAAAATGTTTTGGTTTGCCTGTGGGAACACCCTGGAATGTCATTTTTATTTTTCATGGTTTTCTTTGTGGGCTGAAAGGAGAAAAACACGCTGGCCTCGGGAGAAGTGAGAAATTTTCATCTTTGTCCCTCCACCCCAGTGTTGTAGCATGAGCTGTTATTAGGCAAATGCATCACAACACGACTATAAATTCTCAGTTCCACAGAGATTGCTCCATGTTAGTCATCTTTAAAATGTACTCAGGAAACTGCAATTCTTCAGCTTTGATGTATCTGAAAATTCAGATGGGGCTCTTTAACCCCCTCGCTGGTGCTGTGCTCACAAAGTTGCCTCTCACTCCTGTAATGTGTCTCCGTGAAATGCTTTGCCTGTTTTATTTTTCTGCACCTCTACCACTGCACTGTTCCTGAAATTGTTCCCTGGCAGGGTGGGCAGGCCCTGGCACAGGTGCCCAGAGGAGCTGGGGCTGCTCCTGGATCCCTGGAAGTGTCCAAGGCCAGGCTGGATGGGACTTGGAGCAGCCTGGGATGGTGAGATGTGTCCCAGGGTGGCACTGGATGGGCTTAAAGCTCCTTCCAACCCAGGTTGTTGCGTGACTCTGGGATGATTCACTGTGCTGGAGGAGTTTTACTCACTTAAAATTCCCATTTGTGATGAACAGCCTGACATTTCAGCCAATTTCTCTCAGTTCTGTTTTATCTGCAGGGGTCTTTCTCATGCTCTTTGCTGGTCAGGCTGTCAGCGTGTTCATCTGAACTGTAAAATCAATTTATGTCATTATGAAGATGTTATCTGGAGCTGCAGAGGTAAAACCTTTCTGAGGAGCAGTTATTGATTATTGCCTTTCACAGTGATCTCTTTTGACTTTTTATCTTCTTTAAAATAGAGTATTGGTAGGGAATAGTAACAACAAAATGCCTGCCAAATTTCCTATTAAATCAGAGTTAGACATCAAAGGAAAAGGAAACTCAAAGATTTTCCTCTTTTACTCCCTCCTTGTGGATTTCAAATGTCAGGACAGCAAAACCTCCACAGGTCACTGAGTTCCAACCCCCTCAGCAGGGTTGGGGCTGCAGACATGGGGATTAGCTCATCTCTCCTGGGCTGCTGGAATCCCAGCAGCTTCCTGGTGTGCTTTGGGGGGCTTTGCTTCCTAAATATTCCACGTTTTGTGCCCTTCCTGCTGCGTCAGACGTGGCTCAGCTTGATGAGGCTGGTGTCACTTGGGCTGCTCTCGTCACCTGCTCTGCCTTACTCCAATGAAGAGATTCGGATTTGGAGCAACCAAACCTGAGGAAAACATCCTTGTGGAGCAGTCATTGGCACTGGCAGGGAGGTCAGGGAGAAGGAGCATTCCAGCGTGCCTGGATCCCACGTGGAAAAGTTGGGAATAAACCCAACCCCCAAAGCAAGAGCTGAGATTCCCTGGGCAAGAGAACCTCCCACAGCTGGGGGAAATCTGGTTGTGTAAATACTTCAGTTACAAGACAGACTTTCCTCGTGGTTTTTTGGGTTTGTTTCAGTAAAATTCTAGCCCTTGATCCCTGATTCATGTTCTTGCTGAAGTTCCTGTTAAGCATGAGTTAATATGAAGAAGTAACTCCAGCACTGAGTCGTGCACTGAGGTTTAAAAATTCCCTTTGCCAGTGTTTCTGCTGGAGTCTGGAGGTGCAGATGAGCAGATGGGTGGGTGTGTGGCAGCACAGGATTTATGCATTATTAGAAACCAATTCTTAATAAAATTGCGCTTGTGGATGTCAGGAGAACCTTAAGTGAATTATTCGGGCTGGTATTAAACTGTCACTAAATGCTCAGTGGACCTGATGTGTTTTACTTCTCCCTTTGAGTACTCAAATGCTTTTGTTCTGGATTTTTCCCCCCTCACAATGGTAACTTTTAAAATCTTTTTATTCATTCTATCTTCAGCATAAATGAACCTGCTAGGAATATTTTATTAGTGTGATTAAACCCAGTAGTGGCACATAATTTCCACTTTTTTTCACGATTCTTGTAAGGAAAATCACCTGATGACTGAAATGGTTTCCACTGAGATATTTGTGATGCTCCCTCAGAATTTTTTTAAATTGACTTTCATTTTCTTAGGAGGAGTAAATTGCTCTGTGATGCTCAATTCTGAGCTGTGGTAATTGCACTTAAACGTATTTTCCATGTTGTCCATGAGGCCACAAAATTCCTGCTTTGCTTAGTTTTAATTATGGATTCCCTTATCCTTTATAAAAACTGGATTTCTGAGGAGATGCTCCATTTCTTTGCACAATTCCACAACTGTGTCTTGTGCACTCAGGACTAAATAAATCCCAGGGAATTTAGGGGAAGTTTTATATTCCCATTGTTCAGTGTTTCGAGGATTTGTGTTGTGGGACTGGAATGCCAAGTGCCTGTCTGGAAATTGAATTTAATCCTGAAAAAAGAGAATGTGGAGGGGTTAAGTGATATAATCCAAACTCCCAGCAGGAATTTTGGGTGTGAATCCTTGGAGTTAAACTGGCCACACTTTGGAGTCATCACCTGCCTGACTTTGGGCATGGAAACCTCGAGAGTTGTGGTGTCTCCACCTCACCCAGCCCCATCCCCTGCTGCTGTCCATGAAATACTGCACTGATTGTGCTCTAAGCCTCTGGAAAATCTCCCCAAAAGCCCTGAATGAAGTTGTAAATCCATCCCAACCCACCCAGCTGAAGTCTAATCTCTATTTTATTTATTTTTACATGCCACTGGGAAGGATAAGAGAAGATGAAAGAGGGAATGGTATTTTAAAAATAAGATCTTAGAAAGAATTTAGGAATGAATTGTTGAAGATTTAGAGGAAATGTATTTTCTAATTACGTTTCCTCCAAAAAAAATTGCCTTTCTGTAGTTTGTGGAATTTATTGGAGGTATTTCCAGAGTGACTTCAGTGGACACTGCCTCTAATTTTTCTTACAAATTGCTCCTTAGAGTTATTGATCAAGAGCTCTCTTGAAATATTAATTAATTTGGGTTTAGCAAGTTGCAGTTTCAGGTAGTGAGATGCTAAATCTGTGTTATTGACAGCCAGTTTATTTAATGTCATAGTATTTAAGTGCTTGCTTTGCTAATCTATTTATCCTGTGCCATTAACCTTTTGTCTTTTTATTTCCTCCCATCTTTGGAGCCTGTTTTAGAGCCATTTATTGTGCAGATTCCTATAACTCCCATCCACATTTGGGTTTAAATTCTTCTTTTGGAGCTGTTTTAGAGCCATTTATTGTGCAAATTCCTACAGCTCCCATCCACATTTGGGTTTAAATTCTGCTCTGCTGTTGCTGCAGGCTGGGCCTGACCCTGCCTTTGGGTTTTCCTTGGCTGACACGAGGTGACACAGATAAAGAGCAGCAATTCCCCTTTCCCTGCCACAGCCATTGATGCTCTTGTCCTGTTGATTTATACCTGGCAGGAATTCCTGCATTACCCCACGGAGAACTGGAGGCTCTCAGGTCTTTCTGCAGCAGGAGGATCAGCAGGATGCGGCAGGAGCAGGCAGAGAGGTGCAGGAAGCTGCAGTGGGGAGTCCCAGCCAGGCAAACTGGGACAGGAGATTCCTGTGCTGTTCCTGCCCAGCTGATGAACAGGATCCTGCTGGAAAACACCAGGGAGGCTGTGAGACAGGTACTGAGGGAGAGAAAGGGACATTTCCCCTAAATTCTGGGAGAACCACTGAAGAAAAAAGCCAAAAGAACAAGATAAAATCAGGCAGACCTTACTGATGCCAGGCTCTGGAGGAGGTTTTGGGTTGATATCACAGGATTTATTCTTCTCATTTCTTAAACACCACTGTAGAACTGTTGGTAGCAAATAACCATCATAAAATATTGTCTGCTGATAAAATCCTGATTTGTGTGATTGAGCAAGGCTGGGATCATCATTTATTTTACAAGAAACCCTGGATCAGCTGAAGGAAAAAAAAAAAAACTTTTATTTTCTGGTTGTATTTGCCCCAATTATTTATCAAATTATTCTGCATATTATTTTATTGTGAAGTCTTTGTGACTCCAGGATTAAAAGAATTCCAAAGGCAAAAACCTGCCTGTGCTCCCAGCTTTCTAAGGCATTAGATAATATTGATAAAAACAGTTCCAATAAAATCTTGCTGACCTCAGTCCCTCATTAAGAAGCCTCTAGCTCATCTTTACCCAATTCAAATCTCTTTTTTTGTCACCAGCCCAGTGGCTTTTTCCCACTACAGGATGGGTTTTATGCCTCAGCTCCTCCCCTCAGCCCTGCACCTAAAAATAACACTTTAAAGTCAGCTCTGGTGTGATAATTATTTCAGGCTTCCTGTCTTTTAAAATGATTTTGACATTTCAGCCATCTGCTTTTTTGAATTTCTATTAATGCTAACCCACCTTGCAAGTTTTGTGGAATTTTTATTTCCTCTTTATTTATGTTACATTGTGGGAATACATTCCCTAAGAAAAGTAACTTTATCTGCTCTTCTGCTTGGTTCTGTCTGTAGCTCCACACAACATTTTTATCCAGAGGAGGTCAGGGAAAAGGGGACAGAGAGGCCTGGGATGGGACTTTCTTCGGTTGATTCTCCTGCTTTTGTAGCAATTTAATGTGTTTCTGGAGCCAGATGGAATCTGAGTCAATTAAATCAGATAAAACCATTGATATTTCATCAAAGCACAGACCCTGGGATCTGTGTAATGCTGTTAAATAAGATTTCATGGTGGATAAACTAACCTAGGAACCCCTGAGTAGCACTGATTATCTCACAGACAGAACTGCAGAGTCTGGGTTGGATTCTGCCTGTTTGAACTCATTGCTCCAGAGTTTATTTGCCTCTCAATTTATTTATAAAATGTATAAATATAATTTATATCATAAAATCATAACCCCTCTGGTTGGTGCTTAAGGTCTTGCACCCAGTGAGCATAGGAACAGTTATAGATGGTGGAATTGTGACTCTGAATTATTTTACCACTGCCTAAAAAGCCAATTTTTGTCTTTAGACAGTACCTCTGTGTATTTTTATTAATTGTTCTCAAAGTTGCCAGGCCAGACATTGCTCATGGCATCAAAGTTTCCTCTTCCAGGTGACAGAAGCTGAAATCCACGAGGCTTCAACATGTCCTGACTGCCAGCAGAAGGAAGCAGAGCTGGCCAAGGTTGCCTTTCTCAGGCAAAAAAAGACTCTGCTGGAAGGTGCTTTACTCCAAGAAAAATTGGAAGAACAGTTTTACTCCAGAGTAAGCAAATATTGTTGAAAAAAATTTGTGCTGCATTTTATAGATGCTGTAATGAAAGAATCTGTAATTCAGATTCCCCCTGATTTATGGCAGTGAGATCAGTGCAAAACCAAAACAGAATTTGGGTCCATATTGTGAACAAAAATGCTTGGGACCGACGTTCTCCTCAAGCCATTTGAGCTTCCTAATTTCTGGAAGCTGAAGGTCATTCCCAGGATGTCCTGGAATTGGTTTTGGGTTCCTTTTAATTCTCTCTCCCCAGTTTTTCTTTCTGCTGGGCTGCCCAAGCTGAAATGGCAAATTAAATGATGTGATAGGAGGTAACTTCCCATACTGGGATTCCTTGCTCATCCTTTGCCATGGGAATCTTGGAATATGACACTGCAATGTGTGATGGAGGCTGAGGCCTTGGGACACTCTGAGATTTCTTCTTGGAATTCTGTGCCAGTGTCCCAAAGACGGAAGTTTTGTAGTAAGAAGTGCCTCTGGAGCAGCTGGGGGAGCAGTGAAATGTGCAAAATTCCTTGGGTCTCCTGTGGCTGTTCTTCAGGAGGATCTTCCTGAAGGGAGAGCTCTCCTCTGCCTCCTTGGGAGGGGTCAGAGTGAAGGCAGGAGCTTTCCTGCACCTCCCAGCTCTCTTCCTGTGATGATGAGCAGGAGTTCGTGCTGCTCCACACATTTCTTTCTTCCCTAATAATTCCAGTCTCCAGAGTTTTGACTCTTCCTCACTCCATACCTAAGGTCTGAGAGCTTCAGGCTCAGGTGAGGCTTCACTTTTCCCCACTTTTCCCCCCTGCTTTCCTGCAAGACCAGCTGCTTTTCCCTGTCCCTCCTTAGGGAACAATCCTGCTTTTTGGGCCATGCTGTTGGACAGAGCTTTTAAACAGAATCCTTTCAAACCCACCAAATTGTGTGGATGGGTGCTGCCCACCTGGCTCCTTTCAGGGGCTGGGTGTGTGATACAGGCCATGAGAAATGGCAGGAATGCAATCCTGAATAATCCCATGTCTCCTTTCTGTTCCAGGACATGCTCACACTTCTAGGAGAAGCTCTCAGAAGCTTTCCCAAACCTTCAGAGGATCCCAGGGACTTGTGGCAAAGGCTGAAGGGTCAGGAAATGGAGAGCCTGGATTAACCATAACTCCAGTAGCTGAAGAACTGGGAGAGCCTCCTGTGGGCAGTCACCTCCAGAATTCCAATGATTTTGGATCTGAGCTGCTCTGGCAGTGATGGATTGGGTGCTGGTTAATATTCCTGCAGGTGGAAGCAAATCTGCCTGGCTGGGGTGTGAGTCAACCCTTTCTCCTTCCTCAATGCAAATGTTGCAATATATTGTAATCCATCTCCATAGGTTTCTCAAATTCCAGAAGCCAACACTTTCCATTATTAATCTGACAAGCCAGAAGTATTGTTTTTTTTTTGTGGAATTGCTGTGGGATTGCAGAGCAGCTCCCAGCTGCTTCCATCCATAAGGAAAATAAATGATTCTGTTTGCCAGGGTAGGGAGGTGTAATTACTGCATTTCAGCTCAGTCTTTGCCCACTGTCTCATGGTAAATTGAAAGTGAGAGCCCCAGGTGGAGGACAAAAAGCAAAGTTAACTATAGAAAGCAGTAAAATGAAATGCAGTATTTATGGAAGGGAAATATGAGGCTCTAACAGAAATTAATCAGCAGGAGTGGGGATGCCAATGGGATGAGAAACGATAATAAATTAATCATGGAATCTATATAGGATAGAGAGAAAAAACCAACAGATTAAAAGTGGAATAAGAATTATAAGGAAATACTTTGGAATTTATTGTAATTTTTCAAGATGACAAAATCACTGTTGTTCAGAGATGGATCTGGGGTTCAGTCCACACCCAAATAAAATGGAATTGTGCTGGGAATCTTTGGGTTAGACAAGGAAATCATCCTCACTGTGGCCTCCAAAGCTCTGTGGGCACCTCGGGGCTCAGCCATGGCCTGGCTCTCCTCAGCCTCCCATTTCCTGACTTCCCTGCATTCACATCTCCGTGGAAATCTTGGAGGAATATCCCTGTCTGTGACCCCACACTGTGTTCTTGTGCCAGAGCAGAGACAATTAAATCCCCCTGTTGCATTTTCCTCCCCCATTCTGGGACAAGAACCCTCACTGCCGAAGTGGGGTTTGCATTTCATCTTTTGTTTATCAGAGTCTTTGAGGGCTGTTTAACCTCCTGTTCTCACTTCCCAAAATCCAGTGGAAAACTTGGAGGGAAATGCTGGGATATAAACAGAAGTGTTAGCAAAGTTCTGCTTTCTGCTGCTTAAAAATCTGCTCTGGGTGATTTCCCTGGGAGTGGATCCTGAGGAGATCAAACCCCAGGTGGGAACCCAACCCAAACCTGAGTTACTCAGTGCTGGCTGTCCTTGCAAACAGCTTTAATAATCCATCAAAATACTCCCCTACAAACATCCCCTTTTAAACCGTGCCTGCAGAGCACCTGGATAATGAATAAACCCTGCTTGTTCCCTCCTGTTGCTCTGGAATCCTTTAGAAATGTTCAAATCCCTTAAATCCCGAGCCTTCCAATCTCTTCATGGACACCCCACCTCTGCTCCTTACTTGTTAGGAGCCTTTGGAAGTCTCTGCAAACACTGGGAAAAGCACCCAGAATTTCTGCTGGAGCCCTGGAAGGGCTGTCAGGTGTAGGGGAGACAATCAGGAGCTGAACCCTTTGAAAATGTCATTTTGCAGCACAGGTTTCAGCCTTTGCAGACCCACAAAAAGTGACTTCCATGCACATGTTGATATTTTTGTTTTCAGAACATAGAAGCTTCCTAGAGCTACTGAAATTTCTTGGTGTCAAGCCTGCTGTAAATCCTGAAGTTTATTGTGAGTTATTTGGGTTATGTGTCTGACAGTATTTGTGGAACAGCATCCTGCTCACACACAGTGCCTGCACAGCTCTTGTTTGTTTGCATAAATGTTACAAACAGAACTCGGGTAACTCCTCAGGAAAATCAAAGCAGATTTTGCTGATGGCTGTTGGATGCATTTTCCTGCTGCTCACTACAGTTGTTTCATTCTTTTATCAGCAGTGAGTCTGAGGGTTTTTCTTTAGCAGCTCTTAGAGATAGGCAGTGGAATGAATTATCCTAGTCCTTAAATAGTTTATTTTCTAATCCTGCAGTTTTTGAGGCTGGAGATCCAAAACTTTGCCAGGGATGTGGGAAAGAGGGTGGATGATGAATCTTCCTTTTTCCTCTTCCAGGAGCTCCTCCCTCCAGCAGCAGATTTTTCTTTTGATCCAAAGAAACCTCAAAACTCTGGTCAAGGAATATTGACTCATCTGCTGCCTGGTTTGTGCTTGCTGGGGCATAAAAGGAGCAGGGTGGCTCAAGAGGGATTCCTTGGGAAAAGCAGTGGCTGTGAAACAAATCAGTCTGCCTCTTCAAAGTGCTCTGCAAGCTTTGCCTTTGTGGCTTTCCTGCCACCCAGAGTTGCTTGATTTAATCTTCTGGATGATTGTTGATGTGGTGGGGTTCACTGCTCTGAGCTCTGTGCTAACAGAGAGGGTTTCTCCCACCTCAGCTGGTCCATGCTCTGTGTGTGCTGATATTCGCTTTTGGGATATTTGGATTTTATAACTGACCCTTTGGAGAAACTTCCATTCCTCAAATTGTCATTAAAATCAGTTTCCCATGGCCCTCAGCACTGTAACTAACATTTAGCTTTATAAAAACCACCCTGCATTCCAGGCTTCCTCATTCCTCAGTCTCCTTTCCATCCATCTCTCAGGCTCAGGGAATTTGTATCTCTAGGAAAAACTTCATCTCAATCCCACCAGGCTGCTAGCCCAGCTCTGAGTGGGAGTGAACTTTTAATGTCATTAATTTCCCTGGATGTGAGCTGGCAACAAAGCTAAATATTGACAAATGACCCGTTCTGGTGGAGGGTGGCCCTGCCCATGCCAAGGGATGAGCTTTAAGGTCCCTTCCCACCCAAACCATTCCATGATTCTGGGATATTTGAATTTGGATTTCCTGAGGAAATCTGTTGTGATCCCAGTGGTCCAGTGTAGGATCATAGAAGAGTTTGAGTTGGAAGAGACCTTCCGAAGGCCACCTAACCCTGCCATGACAGGGACACCTCCCACTCTTCCAGGCTGCTCCAGCCTGGCCTTGGGCACTTCCAGGGATCCAGGGGCAGCCACAGCTTCTCTGGGAATTCTGTTCCAGGGCCTCCCCACCCTCAGTGTAAAATCCTTCTTGTATCTGATCTAAACCATCCCTCCTGCAGGTAAAACCATTCTCCCTTGTCCTGAGGGCCCAGGCCCTGCTGAGAGCTGTGCCCCATCTTTCCTGCAGCTCCCTTTGGGTACAGGAATGTTTCCCTGGATCCTTCCCTTCTCCAGCTGAACGCTCCCAACTCAGTTTTTCCTCACAGGAGAGGAGCTCCAGCCCTTGGAGCATCTTTGTGGCCTCCTCCCATTAATCCTGAACCTTTTGTCTGAAGTTACACGAGGATCTGAAATGCTCCAGGCTCCCCTGGGGTCCCTCAGTGCCTCCTAAGGAATTCCCCTCATGGGGTTGGGGTGTTGTGAGACTTGGGGTTTTTTTTTAGTTTTATTTTTTTACCACAGTCCATTTGATCAGGTTCCAAGAAGAGGAGCTGAACCCATTGATTCATAGTGGGAACTTGACAAAAAATGTTCAGCTGGTGGCACCAAGGACCAGGTTTTGGTGCTGGGAGGGCTCGTGTTGCCCTGTGGAACAATAAAACCCTGAGCCAAGTGCAGTTCCTTCAAACCATCCACGTGTCCTCCTGAAGAGCTGCAGTGCTCCCAGCTCTGCATTCTTCCAGCATTTTCCAATCTCCTTGCATTCTTCAAGCTGTAATTTTATTACCACTGGATGTGATTTTCAGAGAGTGACTTTGGATTGTGCCCCTGAGGAAGGCACAGGGTGTGTGCAGATCAGCCCTGCCTGCTTTCCTGGGGTTTAAATGATGGCAAAGCAGATCTCAATCCCACAAACACCACATTTCCATTGTTTTCATGCAACTAACTGTCCTTTTTTTCTTTCCCCCACAAGTGATTTTGAAGATTTTTGGCAGCACTGACAACAGCAGGATGCGGATGGGAGATGAGGGGGAGTGGATTCCTTCTGTCAGGATCCTCCATCTTCCAGATTACCTAAAGAACTGATCAGGGTACTTAAAAAAAAAAAAAAACAAAAAACCCCAAACATTTTCCAGCTTCTGGGCATGGATATTCACTGCTTATTTATTCATTTATTTATTCTGTAATAAAATAGTACTGTTCTCACAGACTAGGCTGTATGATCCATAAATACCCTTGTAAAATAGATTTGTAGCATGTGACAGAATCCTTTAGAATATTCTGTGAAAATTCTTGGGTTTGTTTTTTTTTGTTGTTGTTGTTGATAGCACTTTCAGAACATTTACATCCTTCATCCTGACATTTTGAAATAGAACATTTTTTTTGCCTACAGAGGTAAGTTTACAGCATCATCACAGTATTATAGCTCGTTTAAAAATACATACAGCAGTACTGGTAATTGCAAGCAAGCTGTAGACTCGAGCAGGGGGCTGGTGGCAACTTCACATGGTTTCTGCTTTATAAAACAATGACATTTACTAATATTACATCCATCACTTGGTTAGAAAAGATTACTTAGATGTGCTACTCACAATAAATCTGTCATTTCTCTGTGACATGGAAATAGAAACACACCGTGGTATGGGTGGTTTAAAAAGGATTCGATGCCTAATTAAAAAAAAAGGTTTAGGCTGTCTCTTCCCTTGGGAATTCAAGTTCCATTAGGACTGGATGTCCTTAATCCACTTTGTGGGGATGCCACGAGCACCTCTCAGCACAAGGCTGGTGTGAAGGGAAGGTTGAAATGTCTGAGCTGCTGCTGGGGGCATGAATGACCTGGCAGCCCCAAGTCCGAGTGGATTCCAACTCCTCCAGCCCCTTTGGGATCACTGCAGCACAACTCCCCTGGTCTGGATCGGCTGGGCTGCTTTGGGATACCCCAAATCTGCCTCTTCACCTTCCAGTGGGGTTTTGAAAGAGCAAAAGCAACAGGTTGAGGTTTACTGGCTCAGTAATGCACAGAAAATTGGGGTTGGGATGGACCTAAAACCTCATCCCATTCCACCCCTGCCACGGCGAGGACACCTCCCACTGTCCCAGGCTGCTCCAGCCTGGCCTGGGACACTTCCAGGGATCCAGGGACAGCCACAGCTGCTCTGGGAATCCGTGCCAGGCCCTCCCCACCCTCACAGGCACTGCCACAATTTGCCCAGCGAGGATTAAAACGGCAGAAGAGATTAAAAATACATCATTGCATTGGTTTTACTTGGCACAAATGAGACTAAATGTATAAATATATATATATATATATGTATAATAAAGCTGTAGGAAATCTCCAAACTGCTAACAACTCTTAGAAATGAGATAAAACAAAGATGTATTCGCTTGGAAATTTCAAATTCGCAGTTCTCTTGTGATTTTCAGGTAATTCAAGAGTACTTTGTGGTGGATCCTGGTTTTCTCTTTTTATGAAACGAGTCCAGGTGTGCTTTGGCAAATGCTCTTTTCTTGGTCTCTCTGATACTCCTCTTGTGCTTTCTGCAGTCTTTTCCCTCTGAGTTTCCACTTGTGGAAGCAGTAGGTGATTAGAGATGTCATCACCAGGGAGAAGATGATGACCAGCACGACGATGAGGGCGATGGTGGACGAGAGGGACCCCTCCAGCTGCTCGCTCTCCGTGTCCCTGGTGGAGTTCAGGTCAGCAAAGTTCTCATAATCTGCCGAGGCCAAAAGTGCAGCTCCAGGAGCCTCCTTGAACTTGGGCCTCATTGGGGCTGGGGAGGAGCTGTCAGAATTCCTGGAGA